CAGTCCCATTTGAAGTTCCAGTCGTGTCTGACAACTGAATATGCTGGAGATTGTTTTTGGATGAGCCAGGAGAATTTTTCTTGAAACCATCCCAAACAACATGTGGTGTAGGTGCTGTTTGATTTTTTTTTTTTTTTTTTAAAGGTTTTCTGACCCTGAGACTCCACTATTTTCTGCAGTTCTCCAGCTGTGGTCCTTGGAGAGTCTTTAGCCACTCAAACTCTCCTCCTCACCGTGCATTAGGACGATATAGACACACGTCCTCTTCCAGGCAGTTTCGTAACATTTTCTGTTGATTGGAAATTCTTAATTATTGCCCTGATGATGGAAATGGGCATTTTCACTGCTCTAGCTCTTTTCTTAAAGCCACTTCACTAATTTGTGAAGCTCAATTATCTTTTGCTGCACATTAGAAATATATTCTTTGGTTTTTCTCATTGTGATGGATGAATTTGGGCTTTGTTTTCCCTCCTATTTATATATCTGTGAAACAGGAAGCCATGGCTGGATAATTTCATGTTCATAATCACCCTGGTATGCTAAAAATTGTGAATATGAATGGGAATATACTTCACAGATATTTTACTCATAAGAATTTCTAGGGGTGCCAATAATTGTGTCCAACGTGTATTTGAGAAAAACATTTATGTCATAATGATATTTCCCCCCCATTTTAAATTCTTATTATCCAATGAAAGGTTAGATTTTTGTGAATTTGTTAAATAAAAGATCAAAAGGATTAACAATGCAGATTAATTTTCACAGCCTTCTTTGATCATATTTACCAAGGGTGCCGATATTTTTGGCCATGACTGTATGTTTTAAATGCTGAAACTGATTACAAAGTTTTTTTGTTTGTTTTACTATTTTTAGTCAATTTTTAACATTTTTGCAGGTCACTTAAATAGTCCTGCATTGTGACAAATGCTACGTAAAAGTACAAATATTTCAGGTTGTTTCGGAATTAATGCAAGTTCATACGAACTGCATATATAAATAAATAGACAAGAATGGAAAAAAAATATTTACAATAATTTCAGATGAAGTATGTCGTCACATGGTGGGACACTGCTGTCGCTATTTGACAATCCAAATACAATATTTTATGACTAATAGCAAATACTGTATGATGGCCAATATTATAAAGTTATTTTTATTTTATTTTAAGAGCAAAAGCAAATATGATGGCCAATTATATTTATTTATTTATTTATTTACATTTTATAATCTGTAACAAATATGTTGCCAATATTTTTTATTTTATTTTATGACCAATAACAAATAGGATGGCCAATATTATAAAGTTTATTTTATTTTATTTTATTTTATGACCAATAACAAATATAATGACCAGTATTGTAAAGTTATTTTCATTTTATTAATTAATTTAATCACCAATAATGAATATGATGATCAATTTTTTTATTTTATTGTATATGACCAATACAAATATAATGACTGTTATTGTAAAGTTATTTTTATTTTATTAATTAATTTCATGACCAATAACGAATGTGATGATCAATATATTTATTTTATTTTATTTTTATTCAAATTTTATGACGTTTATAAAGTTATTTTTTTTATTTTATCTGCAAAAATGAATATGGTGGCCAATATTATAAATATAATTTATTTTATGTTCCATACAGAAATGAACTCCAATATATTAGCAGCCTCAATTTTTACATGTTTTCCATTTGTTTCTGAAACCTTTGGTCTCTGTTCTGTCACTCAGGTGTCTACACCTTCGGCGTGTTCACCACCACCATCTTTGCCAATGCTGGGCAGGTAGTGACAGGAAACCAGACGCCTCACTTCCTGTCAGCGTGTAGACCAAACTACACAGCACTGGGCTGCCATTCCAACCTACAGTACATCACAGAGCGCAAAGCCTGCACGGGAAACCCCCTCATAGTAGCATCTGCACGGAAATCCTTTCCCTCCAAAGATGCGGCCCTCAGTGTTTATTCTGCAGTGTATACAGTGGTGAGGATAATGAGCCTACAACTATTTTAATGATGTGACTGAATCTGAAATAACTTCCTTGTGTATGTACTGACAAACAAACAAAATAGTACAGCTATATACCTCTGCAGTTTTAAGCAATCTTTCAAACTCCAGGACACAAAAAGTGATTGTTAGCTAGTGACTGTGATCAAAAATGGCATGTAAAGCTTATAGATATTCTTAAATATAGTAATAATATTCTAACTTGCAATCATATAGTTTTCTTTTAAAAAGTCAATTGGCAACCTGCAAAGCTTCGAGCAGGTCACAGGTCAGTGTTTTTCGAGCTGATTTATGCCGGTTAGTACTGGTCTAGCTGGTGCTCTGGTATGGCCATGTCATCAGAAAAAATAGTAAAGCCGGTTCAGCAAGTTCTTTCTGGTGAATCCGGTTAAACAAGGATGTTTTGGTGGTTTAAGGCCAATTCACACCACACTAACAGACGCAGACCAAAGCAGACAGCAGCCTGAGTACAGTATGTCATTTCTCAGACGTTCCAAGATGTAGATACAACATGTTCAAGCACCAACCAATGCCAACCGACACAGACAGACATAACGCATTGAGCAGACAAAACCTGACGAGCATGTCTGTTGCTGTTTGTTGGCGTCTGTCGGTGCAGTGTGAGTTTGTCAAACAAGTACATATTCCATTTTAGATTGTTAAATTTTTTGTCTTGTAACTTTCTGTGAGACTAATAATGTGTGTGTGTGTGTTAATAAATAAATAAATAAATAAATAAATAAATAAATAAATAAATAAATAAATAATCGGTATGTATATGTTAATCAAACGCTCAGGGTCAGTAAATTGTAAAGAAATGTATCATGGTTTCCCCAAAAATATAAAGCTGTACAACTGTTTTCGACTTAATAATGTTTCTTGAGCTGCAAATCAGCATATTGGAATGATTTCTGAAGGATCATGTGACACTCAAGACTGGAGTAATGATGCTGAAAATTC